TTTGGGTCCTTATAATGTTCTGGATCTGTTGTGATGTTTCTCTTTTCATCTCTGATTTTGTTGATTTGGATTTGCTCTTTCTTTCTTTTGGTTAACTGGGCTAAGGCTCTATCTTGTTTCGCTTTTCAAAGAACCAGCTCTTAGATTCATTGATTCTTTGCATTATTTCCTTTGTTTCTATTTCAGTAATTTCTGCTCTGATTTTGGTTATATATTCTATTCTGCTCGGTTTGGGTTTCATTTGTTCTTGTCTTTCCAGAATCTTGAGTTGCAATGTTAAGTCATTTATCTGTGATCTTTCTGATTTCTTAATGTAGGCACTTAGAGCTATAAACTTCCCTCTTAGGACTGCTTTCAAAGTATCCCAAAGGTTTTGTTGTGTTGTATTGTCCTTTTTGTTGAATTCCAGGAATACTTTGATTTCTTGCTTAATTTCTCCTCTGTGGGGACTCAGGTTTGCTTTGCTTAGTGGGGGGCCTGCTGGCTTCGGGGCAGAGGGTCTGATCGGCCGTGACACAGTCAAACTCTGGGACCTGTGTCTTCCCAACAGGACAATTTATTTTAGAATTCATATGGTTTTTATACATCCCAAGGAACTAGCAGTCACGTGGGATATGACAGTCACATACAAAGATTTAGGATACAAAGAAGCAGGACATTTAGTCTGTTAGTTGGCACCAGAAGGATTCTTAAACTTTTACTCAAGGAGTAAACCTTTAACCTGGCCTAATCTCTTAGCCAGGGATAGCTGAGTTATTTGTTTAGGACAAGGAGATGAGCTAAGGGTTGTTGACCAAGACGCTTTCCCACAGAGCAGGGAGCCTGCACTTTTATGACCAGGCCACCTCCTCCTGCCAGCCCAACAGTGTTCTGCAAGGCAGGGATTATCAGAACCACTGTTTTCAGTGCCCCTCCCTTTTAGCAGAGAATGCAGCCTGGACCTATAAGTTTTAGGCTCACCTCACCCTAGGCCCTGGCATCCTGGTTTCCTACACTCCTCTGACCCACTCACCATTCAGGAATGTGTTGTTTAATCTCATTGAGTTTGTGTAGTGACTAGAGCTTCTTCTCATGTTGATTTTAAGCTTTACTGGATTGTGGTCTGATAGAATGCATGGAATTATTTAAATTTTTTTGTATTTGTTGAGGTTTGTTTTGTGACACAGTATGTGGTCAGTTTTTGAGAAAGTTACATGGGGTGCTGAATAGAAAGTGTATTGTTTGGTGCTTGGGTGAAATGTTTGAAAGATGTCTGTTAGGTACATTTGGTGTATGGCATCATGTAATTCAGATGTCTCTCTGTTTTTTCTTTGTCTGGTTGACCTGTCTAATAGAGATAGTGGGGTATTGAAATTGTCTACTATTACTGAGTTGGGGTTAATCTGTGTCTTAAAGTATTGTAGTGTTATTCTTATGGATTTGGGTGCACCAGAGTTTGGTACACATATGTTCATGATTATAATATCTCCTTGGTTAATTGTTCTTTTGATCAGAATGAAGTGACTATCTTTATCTCTTCTGATTAGTTTGAAGTCCATTTGTCAGATATTAGAATTGCAACCCCTGCTTGTTTCTTAGTGCCATTTGCTTGAAGTGCTCAGCCCTTTCACCTTAAGGTAGTGCCTGTCCTTGAAGGTGAGATGGGTTTCTTGCAGACAACAAAAAGATGGATTTTGTTTCTTAATCCATTCAACTAGCCTGTGTCTTTTGACTGGGGATTTCAGTCCATTGATATTTAAAGTTATAGTTGAAAGATGTGTATTGGTTGCCATCATTTTGATTATTGTTTGCCATTTAAATTTTTGTTTCCACAATTATACCTTCATTTAGTTTCTTTCTGTTGCCCCTGGGATATAGTTGTTCTTTTCTCCATTCTTTGTATTGCTTCAAGTATCCTTTGAAGGGCAAGTTTTATGGACATGTATTCTTTCAGCCTATTCGTGGTTTGGAAGATTTTTCTTTCTCCTTCAACTAACTATAAGAATTTTTTGCTTGGTGAAGTATTCTGGGTTGGTACCTATGGCCATATAGAACTGGAAAGCTATGAAAGCTGTTCTTGCTTTCATAGTTTGCATTGATACGTCAGCTGTAATTCTGATGGGTTTTCCTTTATATGTAAGTTATTTTTCTTTTGCAGCTTTCACTATTCTCTCTTTGTTCTGTACATTTAGTTTTTTTACTATGATATGTTGCTAGGAGTTTCTTTTCTGATCCTGTCTTTTTGGTGTTCTATGTGCTTCTTGTATTTTTATGGGGATGTCTTTCCTTAATTTTTGGAAGTTCTCTTCTATAATCCTGTTTAAGATCTGATCAATACCATTAACCTGAAATTCTCCTTCTTCTATGCCTATGATATGTAGATTTGGTCTTTTCATGGTATCCCAACATCTCTTACATATTCCATTCTTGTGTTTTAAAATTTTTTTCGTAATCTTTGCTTGAGCAGTCAAATTCTTCAACTTTATCTTCCAGTGTTGATATTCTGTTTTCCATTTCATTCATTTTAGCAGTGAGGCTTTCTCCTGTTGTTTCAAATTGACTTATTGAGTTTTTCACCTCCTTCTTTGTTTCAGCCTGAAGTTTCTTCAATGTTTCTCTTTTGTGAATTCAGTCAAAAGTATCCCTATTTCTTTTAGTTTTTTGATTTTTTTTTTGTGTTTTTTAAATTTGTTGAATTCTTGATCATATTTATGATTGTTCTTTTAAATTTTATGTCCTGGGTTATCTCTAGTGGGTCCTCCTTGTAGAACTCTTCTACAGGACAGGTGGAGTTTGGTGGAAACACAATATTTTGGTTCTCCCTGTTATTTTTCTGTTGTGCTTTTGGCATGTGGATTTCTTTTGTTGTTTGTGATTCTGGTATGAAACTCAAGCTTTCCTTCGTTGGGTTGAAGTCTGCTTCTGTTTGTATTGTTGGTGTGCCTTGGTTGTTTTATTATTGGGTTTGTAAAGCTGCTTTGTCAAGGTGTCAGGTTCTCTCAGATTTTATTTTGGAGGGAATTGATGGCTTCAGATCAACTACTCAGGAGCTCCTACAGAGGCCCAAGTCAGCCTCCCGTCAGGTACACTCAGGCTTCCTTCTAGTGTTTGGACCCCTACTAGTGGGTACTCAGAGCACAATTTGGGAAGTTTGCTAAGGGGAGGCCTGATTTTGGCACTCTCAGATGGTCTGCTGAGTTTTTAGCTCCTATACCAGGTGGAGGTCAGATCAGGAACTCTAAGATCCCTGCTAAGGTCTCTGCTTTACAGTAGGGTGCATCTCCCCCTGTCATGATAGGAGGGGCCTCACGTAATCCCAGTTAGGGGGTTGAGTATGGCATGATTTGGGGAAGCTTTGGGGAAGCTCACCACCATGCAGAGGTGGTCTGCTGAGGTCTCAGCCTCTACACTAGGCAGAAGCCAGATCAGGCACTCTCAGACTGTCTGCTGAGTTCTAACCTTTTCCTTTTAATCAATGTTTTTATTAATGTTGAATTTTGAATTTCTTTGAAGTTCTGTTCAATAAATAGAAAAAATTGTGTAGCAAGTATAGCTTGCTTAAATATAATTTTCTTATAATGACTAAAGATAAAAGTTATAGTGGGTTTATTATGGGCCATGTGTGGCAGTAAACACTCCATACATGTTTCTACTTTTGTCTTTGCATTCTTGAGAATTGGTACCTCTAATTACAGCTGAAACTGAAACTGAGAGAAGTTAGGTGACTTGTGTTAGCTCTTCAGGCTGGTAGGTGGGAGTCCTGTCAGGTTGTCTGACTTCACAGCTTGAAACTGTTAATCACTGCGTAATGTTTTCTCTTAGGTTGTCTAAATTTCAGTGAAAATAAGCTTGCTAGCTGTTCTCAGGGATGTGTATGCCCTTTTGATGACTGCTTTATGATATAACACTACAGGGCTATTTTTTTTCTTATTTTAGTAGCAATTGAAATGCCAAGGGATTATAAAATTTAAAGACTTTTATGGTAAGTAGAATATATAGGAAACTTATTTTTCGTTACCTTTGATGATCATGATGTAATTCTCATCATGATCATTTTCTTTGATCATTTTTCTCCACATCTCATTTTCTTTATGGAAGAACAATTTTATAACAGTGCTATGAATTTTAATTATTAATTAATTGAATGTGTGTGTGTGTGTGTGTGTGTGTGTGTGTGTCTGTGAGTTGAAGTCAGAAGACAACTTTCAGGGATCTCATTCTTTCCTTCTACCATATGGCTCCCAAGGATGAAACTCAGGTTTTCAGAGTTGGCAGCAGGAGCCTCACTGAGCCAACTGCCCAGCCCCAGTGCTCTGAATTTTAAAAGCGAAATTAACCAACATAAAAATAGATTTTTTCATAGTAAAGGTATTTGAAAATTTCTTTTAATACTCAGGAATGATTATTAATTAAATTATTCAATTTTCATATAATATAGTTTGATGATATTTAGATCACCTCTCATTTCCACACCTCCTCCCATTGGTCCCTGCCCCATTTAATGTACTCTCATATATATATATTAGCCTATAGAATCTTATTTGTGTCTCTAAATGTCCTTCAGTGTGGGTCCATTCAGTGGGCCCATATTTGTAAGACACTGTTTTCCCTCAGTTGCCAAAAGTTCCTTAGGACAAGTTGAGATTTCTTACCTACTTCCCCATGGCTATGTTGGCATTTTGTCTGATTTGAGTGTGCATGGGACTTGTGCATGCTGTCACCAGTGATGAGAGTTCATGTGAGTAACTGAGCAGCTGTCCGGAAGACTCTGTTTCCTGTGGTCATCAACCACCTCTGACTCTTACAATCATTCTGCCTCCTTTTCTGAAATGATCTCTGAGCTTTGGGAGGCAGAGGTTTGAACAGGTGTGCTAAAAATGCAATTTTCAACAATTTGAATATATATTGATCTTATCAGACTTAAAACAGGAGCTGTTGCTGTAAAAATATTTTCTTTGTTTGCATAAATATTTGTGTTTTTAAAATTGACAATTTTTAATTTCTACCTGAATTTTCTAAAGGGAAAGGACATTACCTTATGAAAATATTAACATCAAGAAAGACCAACAGCAAACTCATTGCACATTTATTCTTCGACTTTATGAAATAATTGTCTTGCAGGAAGAAAAAAAAGTAAGTTGAAAAGTGGATATTCCACCTATTTCCTGTATCTTTAAGATCATTGAGACTGTTGTCACCAGAGTAAAATTCTCTTAAGTCTACTGTGCTTGACAGCTGTGTCACCCAGTGAGCATTAAATGTCTGTCAGTGGTCATTCTCTTTGCTTGAACATCTTTGTTATAGGAACTCACCATTCCTATTTTCTTATTTCAGAGTAGATGACTCTTTTTCTTCAAACGTCTTTAAACTGACCTAAGTTTTCCATTATTATTATTATTATTATTATTATTATTATTTCTTACTCATTATTCTTCCTTATCCTATGATTTATTTTCCATCTCTCTTTTGTTTAGTAAGTTAAATGCTCCAGGTACCTTTGGCTTTTATATTGTCAAATTCACTTAAATTACTTTGAAGTAATTTAAGATGACTTCAGAAGTAATCTTATGATGACTTCTTATGTTTGTGAATTTTCCCCTTTCTCTTTTTGAAAATATGGCATTTAAAACTAAGTATAATGGTCTGGATGAGGTCTTACTGTACATAGCAGGATTCTCATCTTATTTGTTTGTCTTTTAATGTTTTGGTTTTTTTTTTTTTTTTGAGACAGAGTCTCCCTGTAGTCCCAGCTGGGCAGGAACTCACTCTGTAGGCCAGGTTGGCTTCTATCTCACAGAGATCTGCCTGCCTCTGCCTCTCAAGTGCTAGGATTAAAGGTGTTCACTGCCATGCTGGGCCTATCTTCTTTGTTCTGAATTGTTTATATTTATTCATATAAACCCATTTTAGTATATATTTCATAAAAATTTTTTAAATTGACTTATTTTTATTTTATATGTATGAGTGTTTTGCCTGCATGTATGTAAATGAACCACATACATGGAAGTGCCCAAAGAGGTCAGAAGAGGGCATCAGAGACCCTGAAACTGGAATTAATGCTGGTTGTTAGCTGCCATGGGGGTGCTGGGCACCAAGACCCAGTCCTCTGCAAGAGCAGTCAGTGTTCTTAACTGCTATGCCAGCTCTCTAGCTTCTATTTGTCATTTTTAAAATGTATATTTAAGTTTACTCATTTGGAATTTGTATGCAAATTCTTTTTTTCCCTGTAATATATTATATTTTAACTTCAGAGGCAAAGGTTGTAGTATCAAAGTTTCAAAATGGATACATTTTAGTTAGGATATATTGGAAAAATTAGTAATTTTGGGGGTAAGATTTTTGTCCAAGATTTTCTTGATCTTTTCTTGAATATTAATCATCAATGAAACATTTGTCAGAAATAAGATGTAACATAAATGTTACATTATATTAGGAAAATATATGTAAGCAAAATGTCAATTATTTTAATAAAAAGTTATAAATGTGAAAGCAGATAAAAATATTAATATGGACTCAGTAGGATCTAATGGACATTAATTTTATAATATAAGCTAGCAATATACTAGAAAAAGGTGAAGAAAAACATTTTGTTTCTTAAGTTTTATTCAACAATAGAACTTATTTGCACATAATTTTTCTTTGCCATTAAAATACATAAAAATTAAAGTCAGAAAATTATTTTAAGTTGGCTTTTCTGATTGTATTGAAGATTGAATCTGGGTTCATCACACTTAGACAAACATTCTATCACTGGAACTGCTACTCCAATCCTTAGGATGACTTTTAAGAACAAAGCTTAGATATTTAGAAATGTTGCTATTGCATTTTAAAAATCCACCTTTCATAATGCTATATTTCTTGAAAGGAAAAATCAGTTTATGGTAGATGACTTCCAGCTTAATATCAGGATGACTATATTATTAACATCGTTTATTGTGCTATTGAAACTACTATAGTCTGAAATGATTTTTTGAAATAGTAAAATTACTAAAATAGCAACATGAAGAATTGTTATCAATGGCAATGGAATGTATTTTATTTGGAAATTAGCATTTGTGTATTTTCTCTGATTCTTATGGACTATAAAATCTATACTTGGTCACATTTTCAGAACAATGTGTTGTTCAGCATTCTGCTCTTAGTATTTAACACAGTGGGTAGACCATCGTAAGGACTCAAGTGCTATTTATTTAATAAAGGCATGATTTTTTTCAAGGCTTAACATCATTTTATATGGAGTAGGGATATGTTTCTAAATATAAAATATTTTCTGTATTGTGCAAAGACTTTCACTTCTTAACTTTTTAGTTCAGATTTAGGAAAATAGTATTTGAATTTAATAGCTCTTTCTTTTTTATTTTTAAATATTTTTGAGAATTTCATACCTAAGTATTGTGTTTGCATTGTTCCTATCCCTCCCAGTCCTCCTTCAACTCCTTCCATGTCCTCTTACTCCTCAATTTCTTGTCATCTTCTTTGATTATTATTACATATATATGTATTATATATATTATAATGCACTGAGTCCATTTAGTGGTGGCTGTGTGTACCTGTGTTACGGCTGCCCACTTGAGATTAGATAACCTCTCAGGGAAGCAAGTCCTTGGAGGAAACTGATTGTCCCTCCACCAGCACCCGTTGATTACCTGTGAGTCTTCATCTTGAGATGGGACCCTGTAAATTTCTCCTATCTACCTTGTCATTATGCAGATCTTGTTATACTACTATACTGTGGAGGGACAGGTGTCTTGTCCCTCTAGCTCTTACATGCTTTCTGCTCTTTCTTCCACATGGTTTCTTGAACCTTAGACATAGAGGTTGCATTGTAAATGTATCACTTAGGACTGGACACCTCACAGTCACTTATTCTCTGTGTTTGACCAGTTATGGAGCTAATAGTCTCCATATGTTGCAAAAAGAAGCTTCCTTGATGAGTGGCGAGTGGTTCATTTGTCTGTAAAGGTAAGGATACATATTTAGACTATAGTAAGAATTATGTTAGGAAGTAACAGAAGTAGGTTCTTCTCTAGGGTCTATGACTTCTTTAGCCATGTGTGCTTGGCTATATTTATAGTACCACACATAAATTTCCTTCCATTGAATGGGCCTAAGGTCAATTAGCTGCTGAGTACTCCCAAGATAAAAGTGCTGCTACTGCACCAATAGAGATAGTTTGCTGGACCAGTTATTGCTGTGGTTTGTATCCTGAATAAAATTTGTATATTGAATTGAGTAGGATCATTGATTGGTTTTATCCTTTGGTATCTTGCATAGTATCTTCAAAAATATGAGAGCTAGTCTTCAGGGAGGAGGCTTCCAGGTCAGTGCCAGCACAATTGCTCCAAGTTGTTTCTGAAGTATGTTTTGTCTCCATCAGTAGAGTTTTACCTAAGTTCTGAGAGGGAATGAAGGGCTATGGCAATGACCTTTACTATTTTGTGAATCTCTTGGACAACACCACAGTTTGAAGGGAGGTTTCACTTGCCTGGTACTATGAGTTTTGCTATGTAGCCTTCAGCTATATGATAGTCCTTTCTATCTACGGTTTTGCTTTCCTCTTGCATTCTTTTCCATTTATAGTTATTGTAACCCACATGGTGAAATGTCATCTCAGCATTATTCTATTGTACATCTTTACTATTTGCTGCACATGGAAAACTGAAGACCATAATGTGATAATAATAGAAAATTTGATGTGTTGAGGGAATAGGTGGCAGAATTTGTGGATTTTTAATTGAATTTTTGTGAATTTCATATAATACATTTTGATCATATTTAGATCTTCTCCCCTATCTAGAACCCCCCTTCCTACATGTATTATTTTTTTCTACTGCTGAAATAAAAACACTGACAAATACAACTTGGGGAGGAAAGAGTTTATTTCATCTTATTCTTCCAAGTGACAGTCCATCATGGAGGGAAGCCGTGATGGATTACCTGGAGGCAAGAACTGAAGCAGAGACCACAGAGGAATGCTGTTACTGGTTGTCCTCCGGCCTGTGCTCAGCCTGCTTTCTTATATAACTTAGGACCAACTTCCCAGGGGTGGCACCTTCCACTGTGGGCTGAGTCCTCCCACATTACTCAACAATCAAGAAAATACCCCACAGGCATGGCCACAGACCAATCCAATGGAGGGTATTCCTCAGTTGAGGTCCCCTCTACTCAAGTGTGTCAAGTGAAGCTGTCCAGTAACACTGCCTCATGCTCCATTACACACACACACACACACACACACACACACACACACACACACTCATGCACACACACACACCCCTATGAGGTCAATATTTATTTATTTATGAAGCCCTCTGAGGTCAAATTTGTGTTGTAAATGCCCTTTAGTGTGGGTCCATCCATCCACTATCTCTAACTCTTAAAATCTTTCTGCCTCCTCTTTCACAATGATCTCTGAGCCTTGGATGTCAGATGTTTGATATACATGTGCTATTAGGAATAAGCACTTATTCTCTGCATGTTGGCCAATTGTGGGTCTCTGTGTTAATCACTGTCTTCAGCATGAGAAAGCTTCTCTGGTAAGATTTGAGAAACACAGTAATCTATAAGTATAACAATAAGTCTCATTAGGAGTTGGTTTAGTACTATTTGCATTTAGCAGAATAATAGCAGTAGTAGGCTCTCCCTTATTGCCTGTGACTTGTATAGCCTGATATCACTATCAGGTATGGCTTCATCTTGTGAAGCAGACCTTCAATCCAATGAGAAAGTGGTTGATTACTTCTTTAACATTCTGCCATTATTGTACCAGTGGACATGCCAGGTCAATTGTTGTAGATCACAGGATTCACAGTGGGGTAAGGTTGTGGATTACTTTTCTCCTTCTGTAGCATGCATAGTACCTTCCATTACTATGAAAGCTAGCCAGTAGTGGTGAAACTTTGAAGTCAATACCAGCTTAATATCTCCTTGTTTTTTCTACAGCTCATGTATATAGTGTTGTTAGCAATAGGGTATTACCATCAAGTTCTGGTGGGTAAGCAAGAGCAGGATCAACATCCAGTATTATTTGAAGGTCTATGGGTTCCTGGTCAACAGGTTCAAAAGAAGGAGTCAATCCCTAGAATAGGGCTTTTTCTTTACTAGTGTATGGTGTCTGGTAGGGGCGATATCCC